GGTTGGAGAGGTCGCAGCAGGGATGCCGAATCAATGGAATTGAATTATTTGCCCTCTATAATGAGTAGTCAACAATGTCGCGCCAATGGACATCTACACGGGCCGAAACAAGGTCTCAAATCAGCTGATGTCTCATCAGACCTTCAAAAGCAAGCCAATGTCTATCATGCTGTTTGCTACACCCGCATCCAAAACGGCAGTGTTGAGCATTTTCTTCATTCGCTTGCAGTACGTCATTCGCAGCGAGAGCGCCCAGCAGCACTAGCATGGCCGTTAGTCCTGCAAGTGCGTAGGCTGCTGGTGACCTTACCTGGGCGCCAGGGGCAGCAGCTTGGCTGGTACCCTCCAGGAGTTTCACATCATCGCCGTCAATCTGCTTGGCATCGTTGGCCTCCAAAAAGGATCACACCAGTTAGGCCACAAACACCCAACCAATAAAAAAAAAGGTAAAGCTTCAGGTCTATGGAAGCTAGTCAGCAACGGGCCTCCAATTTGGGAGCCTCTGGCTCACTCTCTGCTTCATCTGCAGTTCTACCTTCTCCACCGATTCCGTAGCCATAGCGCCTGGGGCCCTTTGGACCCCTTTTTTTGCCTCCAGCTGGAGAGCACTGGAAGATCTTGATGTTGCCAGACCCACTCAGCCAAATCTGCCTTGTCTCTGGCTGAGCCCTCTGAAACCCCACGGGATGCGAGCATCTCCCGCAAGTCGGTCACCGACTTGTGCCGAAGCTCTTGCAAGGAGTGTGAAGTCTGTGAGGGGACTGGCTTTGTCGGCTTGGTGCTAGCTTTGGAAACAGGTACGACCACCTCAGGCGTGGGCGCAGGGCTGAGAACCTGAGTGAGGATAGGGGATGCGGGCGCATAAGCTGTGCCAGTAGAGCCTCGGAAAACGCCGCGCTGCACTGTTCCGGCTGCCGAGCGCAAATCGCTGCTGATGCCTCATGCAATGGGATGCTTTGCCATGCCATGTCCAAGACATGAAAACCAAGGCTGTTCCATGCTGCTTTTGGCAAGTGGAAGACAGATGAAGATAGCGTGTGGTGTTTCAATATTGGTTCTTTCAACATCGCTCGGCTTTTGCAGTTTCAAATGAAGCTCCCACATTGTCAACCGCCAACCGCAGAACCCAAACATGCGCTGCAGTGACACGCTCCAAGTCTTCGCCTGTCTTCAGCTTTTCCAACTCCGCATGCTTTGGCTGAGGCTTGACGACTGCCTCCCACAGTGGTCATTCTCCACACCGCGCAACAAGGGGGAATGGATTCTTGATGATTCTTGGAATTTACTAAATCAAAACAATGATTATCGCACCTCAATCGCACTAAATGCAAAGCACTCACGAGTGACAACACACCCCATCACCTGCGATTTGGATGAAGGACGAATCCTGTGCCATCTATAAATGATATGTTGAAAAGTATTTTCCAAAATAAATCCTTTACAACCTAACGATCTCGATTTCAATCTCTCGGACTAGCTATATAATTGAAAGGTTCCGCTTGCTGGGGCACTTGATGGTAGCTCTATTACAGTGGATGATGATGGTTAGTAGAGGCCTTGTTCAGAAATAGTGATAATTGCTTACTGACTGTTACAGGCAATAGGACAAGCCCAAGCTCTATTGAAAAGGGCCGCCGGGTGTCCCAGTTTCTGACTGCCAAGTTGCCTCACTCCGCGCTGCCAATACACCTTTCTTTCCATTCAGGCGTTTCAAGGCAGAGCGCATCGCAAATTTGCATCCAACAAAAATTGTACAAACAGCGAAAATTAAATGGGGGAATATGTCCCGTCCATCGGAAGGAGACCAAATGTGACGAAGGCCATGCCTTTGCAACGGGGTGGCATCAAATTGGGCAAGTTACGGATGACAAATGTATACATCATTCTGGGTTTGCAAGTAAGTGGTTGCTTGTGTGATCTTGAATGTGAGACTGGTTCTCCGAGGCATCTGGGGCGAAGCAAACGGATAACGAGCACGTGCGCGTGCTTCTAGAGGCTTGGGTATTTGGAAAATTTTGGAACCACTTGCCGTATGTTGATTGATGCAACTTGAGCACTCACATTCTCGGAGCAGCCGCTTGAGTATTCACCGCTGTCTAACGAAAGGGGTATCGAGGCAATAGAACTACGGAGGACCGGATTTGCATCTAGCGGCACGCTGACATGACACACCTTTTCGCCGTTGCGTTCATTTGGCTTCAATGTCTACATGGCGCTCTTCGCTACGAGTTGAGGCCACAACGAGAGGCGTTGGCCGCTCCACTCGCGGCTCGTTCTATGTCCAATACTGAAAAGGCGGTACAGAGGAACCTGGCCACTTCAATAGCGGGTTCGCACCACCGCCCGAGTCGAGGGATCAGCACGGGCCTCGAAGGAAATTGCCTGCAAATGCTGTCATGGTGACCGACTGACTAGAAGAAAGCACCCGACTGAAGCCATCTCTTACACTTTCTTGGCCACTGGCCTTGTCAATTGCACTTCCCTCAGGAAGAACTTGAGTGCTCTAAACATGTTCGACAAAATCGCTATTAGGTTGGACGCCATTGTTGTGAATGGATGCACGTTTCATTGTTTCGAACAAATGAACTTGAAGGCAAACCCAGCACCCGTGCCTGCAGGCAGGTGTGAGGAACCAGCATGGGCGTGTCATGAAAGCATAGACCACACCTTGCCCGCCACCCACAAGAATAAAGTGCTGCTACTGTATGACATGACAATCAAACAACGCCTCCAAATTGCCAAACTCTTGGGATTTTTTTCATTCTCCGGGCGTACTTGAAAATGGTCAAACTTTCGGGCAACAAATGGCAATGTTGTTGAGGAGCTGCTTTGCACATTCCACAGTGGAGAGCCCAACGATAAGGATTCCAATGGCACAAGATACCACTTCTTCAATCTTGCGGAACTTGCGACAGAGCAAACCAATCAAGAAACTCACAACCTTGGACCCTGGAACCAAGCTGACTCAAAGTAACTGCATAGGCAGGTCGGGCTCAAAACTCATCTGGCTTTGGGGTCACCTAGCTCTCCAGGTAATACCAGGTAGCTAAACTGCAACCTCCAAACCTAGGCAACTTGTGACTGTCATGGATTGGCAAAGCATATAAAATAGGACCAGGCCAACAGCTATATGTATAATACAGCTCAAAGTTTGACCGCTTTCAGTGGCACAACATGAGTGTCCTGTAACATCTACTAATCTACTAAATATATATATATATACTGGTCACACATGGGTTGGGAGTTGCGGAACATACACTGGCCGTCTGGCCGAACACAACTCATCTGCCTTCACCGATTCATGGCAACATAGCAAGCATTATTAGCAAGCTTAAGCTTGATTTAAGGATGTTTACTCTAGCGTTCCGATCCCATACTTGGGCAAAAGCTAGCAACTTATATAGTCCCAACTCATGTGCATGTGAGCTGGTAATGGCCATAAAGTCGTGGCATGCTGGAGCTGCCAGAGAACACATACACACGAAGGTTGACTTGAGCTCAGGAATGAATGGGGAAAGAAGAGTGTGGAGCCACTTCTTGTTTTCTCCTTCCCCCCAAACCACTATTTCCTAACTCACCTGCCAGCGGACACCCACTGTTCCCTCTTGCATTTTTCATCCACTATATCCTCTCTTATTTGTTCCGTGCATTTTTGGCTATATCTAATTCCTAACTCCCAAGGCATTTTTTAAAAGTTGCCTGTAGAATCCCAAGTCTCGTGGGACCAGATATATGGAATCTACAGTCCAAAGCCCACCCCTTTTTTTTCATCCCTACCCATCCCTACCCATCTGTCCTCTCCCGCTCGCTCGAAGCCTGTGCGGGAGCAAGGCAAGAAGTTCAATGTCGAGTAAGGCATGCCAGGGGAAGAAAATGCTCGCTATAACTTGCAGTTCCGACGGTTGTTGGACGTGTTGAGTTGCTGGCATGATGACAATTGCTTGACCTCCACTAAGCTTGGACTTGGCGTGTTCTCCTGTGGAGCACTTATAGCAAACTCCGACCAATATATTTATACGACGTTGGGAGGTGTAGGGTGATATCATGATTCCTTCCCCACTTACCTGCCTCAGATTTTGCTCAGTCTCGGAAAGTGCCTTTTGAAAGGACACAGCTAAGAGATTCTACATGCCAACATGTCAGAAGCAACTAGTGGATCGTGGGCTACAATCCTCCCAATCCACTGTGGTGACTTGAACACCAGCCCGGCCTTGGTCATGACTGCGGATCATTCAGCGTGGTTTGGTCCTTCTGGTCCTTCGCGCTTGTTCAACTACGGCAAGACTAGTTCCATCGAGTGGCCACTGCAATCTCCGACTCATTACACTCCTCCAATTGTACAACAACCGAATACAACCGAGCTTCTCAAAAACGGCTTTTTTGAGGCTGTGATTCTGGCCCAGATTGATTCATCTCTCCCCACAGGATTTGAAACCACCCCAGAACCCCCAACTAAATAACCTCATAGTAGAATACTCATATATAACTATACAACTCTGCAATTCTCCATTCCTGCTTTTCACCTTAGGCCGCCTTAGGCCCAAACTTCCTCGATTTCACTTGGTTTCTCGGCGACTTCCCCAGCACACAAGAATCGTGTTGTGCGCTGCAAGGCCTCCCAGGTGAACTGCAGCACACTACAACCCATGCCGGCTTAAAATCTTGGACCGGGAAACATATGGAGTCCTAGAAGAGTTTTCTCTGGAATCCCACATGTGCCCCTCAGTGTAACACCTCAACCTTTCGGCTTTCCAGCCAAAGCGAGCTTCATGAAAGGGCCACTGGACTGCAGTCTATCAGCCACGATCTGTAAGAAGGCACTGGAACAGGCAACTTTTTGACCACAGAAAGCACAAAAAGTGGCTTGCTGTCTTGCTTGTTGCTCAAGATCCCAAGTGGACCTTTTGGGCCAAGCTGGAAGCAAATCTCAAATGTGGATCTCGTTGGGTTCGTACTCCAAATGGAACCGGAATATTGCATTGCTGTTCTTGCAGTTCAGCGGGCTCTCGCAAAATCGCGCATCCTGAGCTTTGCACACAGAGCTTGGGATGCGGCCTAAAAAGAGACATGACAAGGAAATCCGGACTCGGCCCAACAGCCTCCTAAACAACTTTGAAAGAATCCTGACTTAGCGGGTGACAGTCCGCTCCGGATGTGATGACAGGCATCATAATATGGATAGAACAAAGCGTAGTTGGTATTCCAAAGGTTGTTGTGGAGGTTCACGGCCATACCTTTGATGCTCCCTGGTGCCAATCTGCTCAAACCTTTGCCAGCTCTTGCCACAGATTCCTGATAGCTTGCTGGCAGCGGGTTGCCAACTGGAAAATCAGGAGTGATTGGATTCATATTGATAGCATCCAGCGAATCCAATTTCAAGACTCCATGCGAAGTCCTTACCGATGCACCGCCCCAAACACCATGAGTGAACTGATTGCCGCCATCCAAAACTCCTTCAGGGTCAATCTCCTGACCCAACTTCATTAGCCTCCAAGCAGAGCCGTGAAGCGGCAACTGTGCCGCTGGTACAAAGGAGACTGAGCTGGATTCTCCTATCATTGTTGGCTGCTTGCCAATGGTGGTGAAGGTCAAATCTGCAGCACTGCTGGTCGCCGTGATCTTCAGGTAGATTTTGGAGGGAGCTCCATAAGCTTTCTGCGGCTTGTCTGGCAAGTGCATTTGTGCCAAAATGAAGCTTGCTGCACTGCTGCTGCCACTAACGAAGAGTTTCTCTAGCTGAGGTTTCCAAATTGCGCTCTCAGTGAAGTTGTTGGAGCCTGGTTTGCAGAATCCTCTTTGCATCTGGTGGTCGTTGAGATATGCATAAGTAAAGGGTTGCCACTCCGAATCATTGAAGGTCTGGTAGCTGAAGCTCGCCATAGGTGCCGAGGTTGAGGCCAAATCTTCAGCTCCGGGAAAACGCAGCAAGACGATGCTACCATCGGCACCCAGCTGCATCTGGGTGCCACTGGAGAAGGTGATGAGGGCATCACCTGAATGTCCACAGGAGTGGGGTCGGTCTTTTTTTACCGTGCTTTGGGGTTGAAACCTGGATAGCACTGGATAGTTCAGAGTTCAGAGATCTCTAAATCGCTTTGAAACTCATGCCCCATGCCTCTTAAAGTGAATGAGTGTTCTGATTGTAGAGATGTGAAACAGTGAAATACCTGGATGCTCACCTGAGACTTCCAGCAACTGCTCGAGTGAAGGCTCCTGGACTTCTTCTAGCATCGTGAGCTCTTCCCGCGCCAAAGGCCCCAACGGATGGGATGACTCCTCCAAGGATCGAACCGCCAGCTCATTGAAGAGCCGTTGCTCTGCCCAAGACTCTGCGGCTTTCATGAAGCTCTGATTGTTGATGTCTTTGCGGAATCGGGTGGTATTGTAGTCACCCCCAGATCCCCAGCCTGAGATTCCTGGAGTGCCCCAGGTGTGCTCTGGCGCTTTCAGCAAAAAGAATGTCATGTTTTGAATCGCAGGGTCCGAAGCTTGGCATCGAGGCTCGTGCTGCATGCACTTCACCCAAGCGCGTTGGATGGCACGATATTGAGCCATCTTCAAGGGGTCAGAAGGATTCCCATACACCCACGTATCTCCGACCTCAAGGCTGATGACTGGCAGTTGCTGCCGCACTGGCTGCACATCCTCGAAAAAAGCATCAAATGTTGAGGCCAGAACAGTAGCCCCGGGGTACTCCTTTCGCACACTATCCAGGATGCCTGTCACCTCCGAGACACCAGCTGGCGGTCCAGTGTTGTCAGTCCGGAACTCAGTGCACAATGCAATCCCATTGGGAGCTTCAGCACAATCCTGGAATTTGCAACAATCACCCTGACATACCCTGACTACTACTTGCTCCTGTGACGTTTAACAATGTCTCCCCGACAATTTTATTCTGCATTGAAGAAGGTGGAAGGGGCTGGAAAGAAAAGGCTTGAAATTGATGCTCGTGAACCTTCCAAATGACCAACAATAACCGAACATTTTGACCCTTTTGCGCCTTGAGACCATAGCCACCATAGCCGTACGGATGATAAGCCACCAGGATGTCCTTCCGTGTGGCCTCGTCGACCCAACGATGGAGCTTGGGCACCTGCGGTGGAAAGTCGGCGCCATTGGAACCAATCGTCCTCGACTGGACTTCAGGACCCTGAGTGGTTGCCCTGCGGACATGTTTGTAGGGCCGACCAAAGTTCAAATCGATCTGGTAGAAATTGCACTACAATACTGTATACACTATACACATTATACACTGTATACCTCATTGAAAGGCATGTTCGACCTTGCAATTGCAATAAACATTCCCCATCTTTTGTCTTCCTGCATGGCCACAAAAGCAACCCAAAAGGACTACACTCCGACTCACTGACATGAAAGTGGAAACTGCCCCTGTTTGTAATAGCTTCTTGTTACTACTAGTAAGGCACTTGTTACTACTAGCGTTGCACTTGTTACTAGTAGCTTCTTGTTACTACTAGTAAGGCACTTGT